CCTCTTTTGGGGTTTTTTTTTTCGGATTGATTCTACAAGGTATTAAGGATCTCTATATACATTCATTCTACAAAGTAGACATTGTCCCAAATAATAATAAAGGAAAAAAAAGGAAAAAAGAAAAAAAGGGAAAAAAACGAAAAACCATCTTATACATACAATATACAACGGAAAGAATCAATTTACAACGCGGAATTTAACAGGATGATTAAAGTGTTTAGTATATAAAAACTTAAGGGAGGTTAGCAGTGAGTGTGAGAAGAATGGATACTTTTTTTTGTAATATATATATATATTTATATATATATAACTAGTGTTTTGAATATGCTCGCTTTTGTTCACCTTTGTTGAGCTTCTGAAGAAAATTAACTTTTTGGCTGATTTCACCTGTAAAACCAATTTAATTAAATCAATAAATAATGAAAAATGTCCGATCCCCGGACGGTAGATGATTTTTGCCACCATCTAAATCAAATAGTAATTTATGAAGCACATTAGGGCTGGAGGACTATACTAAGGTAAGAGATAAGTTAGGCATTCAATTTACTATTCAATTTAGGCGGAGTAGCATTAAACAATTTTCCATCCGGGTGAGGCAAAGACAACTCAATAAAATAAAAATAAAATGTGACTTACTGGCCAACTTCGTCGACTCTGCTTCAAAGTCATATGTTTTTGTTCCAGAATCCCGATATATCACCAGTTTGAAATTGGCAGGAGCCTTTTTATTTACTTTACAGGACATCACTGATGTGATATGATATGATGACTAAGAATGTTAAAAATAGAATATTAGTGCGTGAAATAAATACGAAAAATAATGAATAAATAAATAAAATGACTTTAATGAATAGATGGTATACCGTTTTCACTGATTCAAACATAGTTCTTGTTTCCGATGGCATTATGTGAATATAATCACCATCAATTGCTAATACACGTTCGTGGCGTCCAACAAACATTGGTATCTTACGATTGACAGTGTATTTCTAAAGTAATTGTTTAAGTTAGAGGAAAATGAAATATAATTCGTATAAAATCATACAAACAAATTTTGTACCTTGTAAACTGACATGAATTCATTGGAAGAAAAATATAGAGGCTGAGGCGGATCGTTAAGTGTTCTTCTTCTGACAAGATTCCGATCCTTAAACGCTAAAAATAATGATAATATAAGTAATAGTTTCCTTCCTTATTTATATGAATTTTTCAAATGATCTACCTGTCGGACTTGGTGGCGTTACTTCAGGAGCAGTTGACGTTCCATTAGTGGATTTCTCTACAAGTGCAAGCTCCTTAGCACTCCCAATGCTTTCAACTGTCTTTTCCATATTTATGTATTTATCAGTATCAGCAATTTTTAATGTATACTTGTTGATATCCAATTTGCGTTTACGGCAAATCGATTCCAAAACGTTCTGAAAGGGCGTGTTAGCCAGTGCAGGCACAGTGGTTGTGTGTGCAACTTCTTCATTTGGATTAAGGGTAACTCGAACACGCAAAAATATTTGGTTGGTAAAATCAACTGCACTCCCTTTGGACGTGTTATTATTCAAGCGCAGGTTCGGTAGTCCCATTCTTGATAGGTGAGGTAGTATTTTCTTTATAAGTGGATGCCCTCAATTTATTCGAAGCTGCCTCATTTTGTTTGGCTGCATGCCGATATTTTAATAGTTAAAATTAAAAATATTAAAACAATAATAACAATAAACAATTATGAATTAACCTTGAGCTGAAGTCGCCTCGCATAAGGCAAATTGTTCAAATGAGAATTTTACTATTTTCTGCGTTCTTTCCAGAGCTTTGTAAATTTAAAAAAAAATTAGTACGAGAACCTAA